GGATTTTGGACTATTTGTTAGACCCAGAGATCAGCTGAACGGATTAAAATTATCAAACACAACAGTTTAACTCTGAGTGACTTGAAAAATGAGCCTATTTGCCAAAAAGCCTTCCTTTAAATACGTCATAATTATTATAAAACAAAAAAAAGTATATTGTTTCCTTTCATAACTTAAATTACAGTCAATGTAACTGCATAGAGACTCAAAATGTGTGTGTGTGTGTGTGTGTGTGTGTGTGTTTTTTATAATCAGTGAGGGACCACTGACTTCTCAAAATATCACAAGAACGCAAGCATGTTTGGAGTAAATAACAACAGAATTTTCACTTCTCGCCTTTTAATGATTTTTCTCTCTACAGCATATCTCCAAATTAATCAAAAATCAACCCTGAAACCTGTTTCCAAAAATCATCAGAAAATTTACAAGTACAAAAAGAACATTTTTGTGAATTTTTTATTATTATTATTATTTATTATTAAATATATTGCAGGGATAGTAGTACCTGTGTAATATTTTGAAATGAATTTCTTCTACCTGATTTGGGCGTAAAAATGTATTGTTGACCAAATATCATCAATAAATGGGAAAGAAAAATATCGTTTCCATTTCAAAATGTCTTTCAGGAAACATGTTCCACCAATGCGTAAAGCACTTTGAGTGTGCAGGAAACGTGCTATATAAATGTAAGGAATTATTATTATTAATTATTATTTATTTATTTCTATGTGAAACACTTTCATGAGCCCATTTAGCCAATAAGACAAAAACATAGTTTTACTAAAGTAAGCTTACATTTATCCTCAAAAAATAAACCTGACTGTATTTTTTGTAGTAAAGCCGTGGTTAATTGTGTTAAATATGCCATTTCAGCCTGCAGAATGGCATTTCAAACTGTGGCCTAAGAAAAATATAGAAAATAAAAATCGAGTTTCTGTAATATTAAACTAAATAATTCCTCTCCCTGTATAGTTCCTAAAGTTAACTAGACAGAAACAAATGTAAGTTAATTTTAACAGAATCACTCAAATAGCAATTAATCTGACTGATGTTAATGTTAAAGGTTTGATCAAGCTTTTAAGTAAAACAATAGATAGTTTAAAGTTACAGTACCGTTAATATAACATTAATATTTACATTAAGTTGCATCAATGTTAGCATTAGCATCAAATGCTAATAAGCGCTACTAGCCTGTGACATACAGTAATAAACGTTAGATCTAATTACACTGACTTTAATATTCATTGGTTTAATTTGTAATTATTTATTTTATTTATGTAATTTTTTCTTTTTAATTCGCATTTTTCACTAAGTGAAGGCGGGGACTGTTGACTAACGTTAGTAGCTCTAAATTAGTTGACTGGAATGCTGTGACGGTGTTAGCATGTAGCATGTTCACACATAAAATAAGTACAGTTCGCAATTAAAACAATTTCCTACCTTTTGTTGTAACTTAATAAAATCTACTGCAATTAATGTCAACAAAGATGTTTAATCCACAAGAATTTGATCATTATTCCTACCTGTTCACATCGGTTCAGTCCTTATTTAGGCTTGAGTGGGTTATTTTTTGTGAATGAATCTATGATTTAAATGAATTGTGAGAGTCGATTCATCCTTGACCTATTCATAAATACAACAGTTGCTTTGTTGCTGAATAAATGTCTTATTCACTTAAGACAGTGTCCTACCACCACCTACTGGCGGTTTCAGGTAATACATGGATAACTTCATTTTGTTGCATATTTTTCTTTTTAATTTATTATTTGAAGCATTATTCATTTAAAAAGAATTCACAAGAATAACGAATTTATATAATCATAATATATAAAATATAATATAAATGATAATAATAATACTGTTAAAATAAATAAATAATTGATAATGAAAATATAAAATAACTGAAATGAGCTACTCAAAATTAATGAATCACACACACACACACACACACACACACACACACACACACGTATAAATATACATAAACATGGTAATAATTGTAATAAAAAGCAAAGCGCAGAAAAAGTTGTGCATGACAGAAAAAAATACATAGGCCTAAGTGCAAAAATAAATTAATGAATAATTGGAAAAATGTGTATAAGCAGGTGGCTGTGTGAGCACATTAAGGCGAATGAGCCAGTCAGTCTAGCGCGGGCTTTCATTAGAAGTTTGTTGTGTTTTAAAAAGTCTCTACGTAATACCAAATGGAATTGTGGAACTCTGACATCATCGGTGACAGTATAAAGCTTTTTGACGTAGCAGAAACTCTCATTAGCTTCTTTGGATGTCTAGTAGTTCAGTACTTTCTGCGATTCAACAGTACAGTGATAAAATGGCATTTTCAAAACTGATTAACCGTCTGAAGAAAGCGTTTGGTGTTAAGTGTGCGAACGAACAACCGTGTGAGCCACTCGAACCCACCGGCAGCACGACAGAGAATCACCGTCATCTGATGACCGATGACCCGGCCGTCGCTGCAGGAAAACAGGCAGGGAGACAGAAAAAGAGGAAACTCAAATTGTCTCCCATCTTCTTCGCCTGTTTTTCCAGAAGAAGAGCTACTGTTGTTGGTAAAATAGATTTATGAGCACTTTTAATTACTAAAGCATACTGTTAAACACACCAAACACATCACATAAGTGTTTAAAGATCAGAAATGAACATTAACTGGAAGACATTTTAGAAAGATAGTTTCTTAAAGCCACAGTTCACATAAACAAGACAATTCTGTCATAATTTACTCCTTAAACCTGTTTGAGGTGCTTTCAGCCATTGACTTCCACAGTATTTTGTGTTCCTACAATGAAGGTTAATGGCTGCTGATTTCAGGAATTTTCTTCAGAATTTGTAGTTTTGTGTAAAAAACAGAAAAAATAAGAATTATTTGTATTAGGATTTTTTTTATTTCAGTGAGCTTTGCCTTTAGATATATAGTTTACTTGTTTGCTAATTCAATGCAGAAAAACCTTGAAGATCATCAATAAAAACACATTGAGTAATGTTTCTGCAAATGAACTGTTCAAATATCTTGTCAAAAAGAGTTGTAGAGTCATATTAATGATGTTCCTTCCTCTCTTTAGATCAGCTATGTGTGCAGGAGATCCACGAACTTCACGCAGAGCCCATCAGTAGCTCTAAATTCTTCTGCACTGCTGTGAGCAACCTGGAGCTGGAAGTTCTCCAACCTCCAGCTCTTGATGATCCAGCAGACGAAGACTTGGACTCTAAACCTGAAGTGAACAGCTTTGACTCTGCAGTGGTCATTGAGAACGACTCTGCAGAGCTTCACTTCCCAGCAGACAATGAATCCTCCCTCAGCGAGGACAGCCTGGAGCAAGAGCTTGATAGTCCTCCAAGTTCACCATCCGATGAGGACAATGAACTTCCAGTGAGCCAGCAGCTCATAACAGATGACATCTGTGACTCTGCCCTGGATGAAAACTCGAACCCTTTACCGGATCAGGTCTCACAAGAGGACTCTGCTGTGAAGTCTACAGCAGATGATGGGACCTGCTTGGACAATAGTAAGTTTATTGCTGGAGTTCAGAACATTTGTTTAGGCTCATCAAACTTTGTAAAATTATACAGTTGAAGTCAAAATTATTCGCCCTCCTGTGATTTTTTATTCATATTTTTTAAATATTTCCCAAATGATGCAGAGCAATAAAGTTTAAGTATTCAGAACTTTAAGCTGAACACTGGTATCTTGAAAATATCCAGTAAATATGATGTACTGTCATCACGACAAAGATAAAAGACATCAGTTATTAGAAATGAGTTATTAAAACTATCATGTTCTGAAATCTGACAATAATTCTGACTTCAACTGTTTGTGTTTTTATTTGGTTTATAATTTAATGACATTTTCTTCATTTTTAACAGATGACATCAGCTGCCGCTACAAACTCGGAAAGCAGCTTGGTGAAGGAGGTTTCGGCTCCGTGTATGAGGGGATTCGCATACAGGATGGTCTGCAGGTATTCATTTTTGTAGACTCAAATCCTCTGATGAAGTTCCCTGTTTAAAGAACATCATCAGAGCTTTCATTGTTTGGACATTTCTGCTGACGAATGAATCCTCTGTTCAGGATTTATGACTGAATGAAATGATCTCCGTGCACATGTTAATTGTTCAATTGTTCCTTTAAACAGGTGGCAGTTAAATTTGTCCAGAAGACCCCAAATATGCAAGATGTCAGCTCTGTGAGTAGACTACACTTTCTGTTCGCTGTGTTCAGTTTATAAAGTCTTATATTTATTATAGACCACAGGCTGTGGTCAGAAACCCTTGTTTAAAAACCAACATTATTATTTTGTTTTCAGTCATGTGACCAGCCACTTCCTCTAGAGATCACCTTGGCAAACATGGCCAGCGGTGGCTCCAGGTGTGCGAATATTATTCAGCTTCTGGACTGGCAGGTCTTTGAAAACCATTATGTCATGGTGATGGAGCGGCCTAGTCCAAGCATGGACCTGGAGGCATTCCTTGAAGTCAGCGGAGGAGTCCTCAGTGAGAAAACAGCACATACCATCATGAGGCAAGCTGTTTATGCGGCCAACGTGTGCTGTTACCGCGGGGTGTTCCACCGGGACATTAAGCTTCAAAACCTGCTGGTGAACCCCGACACACTGGAAGTCAAGCTGATCGACTTCGGGTGTGGAGACTTCATGATGGAATCAGCCTACAGTATCTTCTCTGGTAGGTGTTTTGAATAGTGTGGTCAAAAGTATCGACTTCGGTACCAATCGATTCTGACATTTAACAAGTCAATTTGAGCGCTGTTAAACACCACTGATTGGCCATTGGTGTTCACATGCTCAGCAAATATGACTGTGATGAGTGTCGGTATCGATTGGTAGTTGATACTTTTGACAACACTAGTTATGAATGTGCATAAGCATTTTTAATATACGTATTGAAAGCTGGTTAATTAGCACAGCTGAAGCCCATCTGGTATATATATTCAACATGATGCTAAACTAAACGTCTCTCCTTCAGGAACAGAAGCGTACATCCCGCCAGAGTTTTATGAAAAAGGATGCTACCGGGCCAAACCAGCGACGGTCTATTCTCTTGGGGTTCTTCTGTTCACAATGCTCCATGGAGAATTCCCATCAGCGTATGACCTGTACTACCTCCAACATGACTGGTCCAAATTTACCCTCTCTCAAGGTGAGATGTTCATCAAGGAACAATTAAGCAAAAACGGTATAATAATAATAATAATAATAACAATAACCTCACCTCTCCATTTCTTCTTCACAGAATGCTGTGATATGATGACGGCTTGTCTGCATGAGAATCCAGAGTGCAGAATTCCTCTAGAAGAGATGCCTTACCACGACTGGTCCATGCTGGAGTTCTGAGTCACATTAGCAGAATGTTTTGTATATTTGATTTTTGTACATGTCTGTAATAAAGATATATTTTATTGAACTCACTTGTGTTGTGGCTTATATTGTGATCTAGCCCCAGTGTTGTCAGATTGTGTGGATTTAAAATGGTTTTGTATGGGGTGACAAAAACTTGGCATGAGGTTTGAACAGCATCCAGTCCTTTCCAACACACTGCAGTTGACACTGGCGTCATTACGGCGCACTTTTAGAAATACACTTTTTCAGAATGCTGTACAGCGCTGACCCAAAACCTAAACATATCAGTCACTGCGACATCAGCAAATCATCCATAAATATTCCAATGGTTTATTGTGAAATCAGAGCTGTTCAGAAAAATGTATTAAAATACAAACGTCGTAACATGAGAATGTGAGACTCAATACAAAACATCAGCATTTTCACAATAAGAGCACCCAGTTTTATTAAGGTCTTTGAGTGTTTGTTGCCATCATGACAATCCTAAACAAAATATTCAGTGATATTCCTTTAAATCAATACTGATAGTGTAGTTTGCGCAGACACACTGAGGTTTATCCAGTGTACAGAAGTCTGAATCATCCACATTATTTCATACGCTTCCAGAAACACGTTTACTACACGAATGTCCAGCGTTTGCTAAAACTCTTTAGATGATTCCTTTCTTACAACATCTCCAACTACGACAGCTTTTCATTACTCACCATTTCTTAATCTTACTAAATACTTGACTTGATGTCACTCTGTGGACTCTGGGGTCATGTGCAGCATGAGCAGGCCGGCCCCCCGGCGGACCACCACATTTAAGCTTTCGCTGGTCCTCACAGCATTATATATCTCCTCCGACGTGTTCACCTTTACCCCATTGATCTCAATATTAACATCTCCTGGCTTCATTCCGGCTCTGCAAAACAGAAAACAGGAAATGACATCATCAATAGGGTGCCTTAATCAACAGCTGATAACATCATGTTCAGAGAGCAGCACACCTGGCTGGAGATCCTACAATCACACGGTGGATGAGAACTCCATGAGAAACATCAGGGAAGGACAGGTCTCGCATCCTTAGCTCTTCGATTATACTGAGGAGGGGAAAAAGAGAATTTAAAGATAATAAAAGACTCACTTCAGCGGAATGTTTACAGTTTAAGGATTGATTGATAAATAGATAAGGTAGATAGATAGATTCATAGATAGATAGACTGATAGTTTGATAGATAGATCAGCATAACAATCAATATTACATTCGCTTCAACCAAAAACACCTCAACAAAACATTCATACTACTTCAGTCGCATAGAGTGTGACAAAGGAAATGCTGTTAATTTGCAATGCATTGAATTAAAGGTGCAGTAGGTGATTGTCCTCAGAAACATTTTAGTTGTGCTGGTTGAAAGTCTCTTCACAGTCCAATAGTAATGATTAAAGTAAATGATCTAAATGTGTTTTTATGTATTTTATATTATGGGTAAAGCATAAAACTAAAAAATGTTCATCCAATTAAATATTGTCGGGTCGACATCTTCCATAATTCACATAAGTAGCTCAAACTGTCAGCAAATGCAGATTTCAGGCCGTGTGGCTTTGAATCACAGTCCCTCCCCGCGGTCCAAAGATAATAGGCTAAGTGGTTAGCATTTTGGCAGATCCCCTACTGCACCTTTAATTATTCACAGAACTGTTCAAATCAATACCACAATTGAACTCATGTCATTTGGGACAAAAAAATATTTAGTGATATTGCTCAATTCTACATTATGTATACAAAACTAAAACCTTAAATATAAATATTTTTTGCCCCAATATCTTGAATTTTACAGGGCTCATACAGGCACATCCTAATGAAAATCAAGGACTTGATTTTAAATTTTTACCTATTTTTATTTTCAAGACTGACACGCAACGTACTAAAACATTGCATAGGAATTTATACAAATAAAAACCATAATAATCATACTAATATAATTAATTAATCAATTGTGTATTAATAATACAATAAACTTGCACTAAATATGCTTGTAAAAATGTTTTTTTATACTATTACACTGCTAAAATAATACAAGTTTTAGTAAATAATACTAACATTGGGTAAAAGTACAAAGTACTCTTTTAAAATCTACTCAGAGTACTAGTTAGATATTTTTTAGAGAAAAAACTCAGATTTTCATTTTGGCTCTTTATAAAGAAATGATAATAAATTTATTTGAATGGTTTAATTGCTTGAATCACAAAGCTACATATATAAAAATGTGCACTAACAAAGGAAGTATGGTCGATTTTTCCTTCCATGACAATTAATCTTTTTCAATAGCACTGGCAAAACTACCACATACTCTATGAGGCCAGAGACACATTTTGTCCATTTTTTAAACAATATTTTCAAGTTTTGAAAGGTTTAATTAAAGTATATGATAAAAATATTTAAATTTAGCCTTTTATTTACATATTTTACATCATTTTTCTTATTTGCTCATTCTTGTCTTTACAATATGGCAAATTTGTTTCTTAAATAGCTGTACAGCACATGGAAATATTATTTTACACTTGATCTTAAACTGAAATCATTTTACAAGAAAGACTACTACACTGTCAGTAATAAAATAATAAAGCAAATGTTGTTTAACTCTAGGTATTTGAATTATGACAACACTGCATTTTTCAAAGCAGTGTTTGAAGAGTCTTATTGTTTATTATGATAAATGTAACAGCAGATTGCTTTGACCTGTAATGCCTGTACAATTCAGTGATGCTTTAAGACAGATCAGAATACAGCTAAAATGTATAAATCCCACAAATACCCCAAACAGAAACATTTCTAGCATAATTCTTTTGTCTTATACAAGACTTTTGTCTTGACGATACAGCCAAATAAAAAGTCTGTTTTCTAAATACTAAATTTAGTCAAGGAGCTAAGATAAATAATTTCTACTTTAATATTGAAGAGATAGCGATTGTATACAGTCTGATCACACACACGAGATGATGAGAGGACTTGCAGTTAATTTGAAAAAGCCTATTTAAGAGCTCGCATATCTGTTTTTATGATTAATGTACATGACTGCGCTCTCATGTTAAAATAAAGCGCTGGATACGTTTGCAGAAATGAGTAATTGAGCAATACCTGCATTCCCACGCCAACATTTAGAGGAGTGACAGACAAGTCAGAAGAAGAGAGCGGAGAGAAGAGAGCAAAATGTGTGTGAAGATCGTTGAAATGGCAGGAAGTATGTCCGTGGTTTAATTACTCTTGCTAATAACATATAGTGAAAACATCCCAAAAGCATTTTTCCATTAAACATTTGTTTTTAAGTTGTTTTTTTCTGTCACTGCAACACAGAAAGGCCTTTGTCCCGCCCTTACGTTCAATGTAAATCTAAACAAGGTTGACTGTGATTGGCCACTTCTCATATCATTTAAATCACTGCTTCGGAATCACGGTAGATTGTGCGGGTATTTTTGCATTAAATTGTCACAAAAATTCACAAACATTTTTATTTTTCGGGCGTGAAAATTGCATACAAATTCTCCTTGATAAATTAAGCACTTTTCAACAGAACAAGCCAATTTTCCAGGTATTCCAGCACTTGAATTTCTAAGAGCCAAATCTAGTGGCATATAACAAAAATCTGTAGATTCCATAATGTATGAATTTTGCTCTCCTGTAGTCAATCTGTAGTCAACTACTAAATGTGCATGTGTGATTTCATAGCGTGGTTCTAGCACACTAATTAAGGCCGTGTACTATGTACAGTTGCCTCGAACCGGGCCAAAGCACGCTTGTCCCCCCCCTCACATCTCCCCCGACGGCCCTCACCCACATTACAATCGGGCCTGGGCAAGCTTACGTCATCGATGCTGCGCTGTTCAGTAGAGAAGCGCTCTCGCTCAACACAGTGGAGATTTCTCTAGTTATATCGTTTCAGTCGTTTGTTATGCAGTGACATGCAGTCAGATATTTCGCCAAACAGTCCTTAGGGATGCGATGACACTCAGTCAGATATTTCGGCGAACAGATCCGCCACTTTCGGCGCTCATAAACAATCATAAAGCCCTCATGCTGTAGGAATGAGGAGGTTTGCTGAAGGTGCGCAGCTGTCATACAGTGAGGGGTTTGCATATTTAATAAACTACGGCAGTTTGCGTTCATTGAACAGTAAGAATTATTAATTAATCCATATGAAACAGTCCCTTAAGAGTCAGGTCTCGCTTTCAGTTTCAGGCTTTGGCGTGTTTTGCACTCACACTACAAGCGTACCACACCAAAGCCCAAGTAAACCGCGCTCAGGCTTACCTCTTCCAACCGGGTCAGGGTTGGCCAGGTAAACCATGCCTGAGCCCGATTCAGCGCACTCACACTTCTCAAACGATCCGGGAAACGGGCCTGGACACGGTTCGGATAGCATAATGTGAGTACGCCCTAAATACCTAAAATCAGAATTTTCTACCACTGAATAAGGTTGCATGTCTGCGGCTATAAATACTCCTACCACGCTTGTATTTGCCTTTGCTTGTGTTGAGTTAATTGGAAGTTTTATTCCAAATGAAGACAGGAGAGTAGTTTGTGTTACACTTGTCGGTTTAACAGATAAAGCAATGATTTTGTGGACATCAGTAATCTAACTATTTGCCTTAATCTGATTAAAACAACAATATGACTAAGGTGTTTACATGAGTTGCTTTTTGAATGTTCCTTTCATGATCCCGTTTTACATGTTGAAGCACATAATACGATTAACGTCATTGTGTCACCACGCTATCCACGTTTCCTCCGTAATTTAGTCTCATAATAAGTCTCATGTAATTTTGGGGCGTTTTATTCTAAATTTGTCGACTTTAACTGCAGTTCATTCAAGAACATTTCATGCGTGACCTCCATGACAAACGAGATATTGGATGCAAAGAACTGCTAGAAGAGTGTAGTTTAAATGGAATTTTGGATACCGCACATCATATGGGAGACAAAAAAAAACCTCCGCAGAGAATAGTGTCAAGCAGCCGTGTGTGTAGAGATCATCACGTTACAAAATGTGGCGAAAATCCTACAAGATGGTAATAGTTTGATTAAGGTGTTTACATGTTTACATTCGGAAAGCAGCATTTACAGCAGATCTTTCAGTCCATAATACTGTAGTGATATTGAAAGAGTACTGCTGACGATACTAACTACCGTTGCCATCTGAATAAACAAACAAAGAACACCGATTGCTTACTTACCAAATCCATAGAGACAGGACAATCAACGCGAACTGGAACTGCGTCTTTTTTTAAAAGAAGATGATGGGCAAATCCGGATTTCACCATTTCCAGATGCGAAAAGCTCTCGGGTAAAAATGTTCCTTACAAACATTTTTGTTGCGTGTTAAAAGACCACTGTAGTCCACAAATGTGGGTCCTTTCTCACTGCGGGAAAATGAAAACAAAACCTTTGTTGTGGCACGTTTATAAACAACACTGACGACCCATGTCTCCGAACAATTCTTCTTCTTCCACTTGTTTTATTTACAGTTAGCAACACAACGTGGCGTCTATTGGAATACTGTAACAGGTAGTTTTTGAAGCTATCATGCATATTAATAAAGCTGCACCTCATTCACAATAGAGCGCGCTGATTAGTTCGTCTTTCTCTTGAATTAATGATGAAAGCTCAAAGACGTCACATTGTACCCGCCGGTACAGACAGCCAGTCTCCATGCTGGAATTTACACAAGGAGCTCGTGGCCTTGACGTAGCTTCAAAATTTCTTTTCAAACCATAAGAACGAATTTGTTCGAAATAACGCAAAAACTTTTATTGTGAAATATATGTATCCTAATAGTGTTTTTAGCAGCGTGGAACATATATATGACTATTGACATCTCAAAAATGTGTTTTGGTGTTTTTGGACCCTTTAAACCAAAAGGCAGAAGCAGTTTTTTGAGTAAATGTCAGCGACTCACCAGGTTTATGAGAGGCCCTCCTGAATTTCCAAACTGTAAAGCAGAATTGTGATTGAGTGATGGAATGCAATTCATTAAATGATGACATACATTTTTTTTGCATGCAACACCACCCAGTTTCCAGTGCTCTTACATCTATGGTAGCGTCCGTCTGGATGTAGTCCATGTTGGAGTTGGAGAGACCCAGTTCTTTACTGCCTCTTTGAGCAGAGCTGACGATTCCAGATGTGATGGTGTTTTTAATAGAAAAGGGGCTCCCCATGGCAACCACAAATTCACCTTGACGCACATCAGATGACTTGCCAAGACGCAACGTTGGTAGAGGATTCTGGGACAAGACAGAGAACACAATGACACTATGTCAGACTAAATGGCCATGTACTAGAACTGTGGTAAAAGAAAACTGAGAAAAATCAATTGCAAAAATGGCCTTCCAAACATAAAAGCCTCCTCTGTTACTGTTCAAGGCTCAAAATTAACCTTTTTGTTTGGTAGTACCGGTGCTCCTAACTTAAAAAATGTAGGCGCTTCAGACAAAATTTTGTCGCACCCACCAATTATAAGCAACGTTACTACATGTTTTATACAAACAGAGTTATTGCATTTAAAATCAAACTAAAAAGCAAAAAAAAATATATATTTATATATATATATATATATATATATGCATGCGTGAGGAAAATGTCTCAACGAAATCCCGTTATTACAAGAAAATAGATTTTATAACATAACTGAGTGACCAAAGCATACACAGACCGCTGTGCTGTTCTCACGGGTGGTGTCTGATATTGCACTGATGCTTTTGACATGTACTGTACCCTATTATATGCATACATCATGTTAAAAGCTATACCGGTCTTCATGAGTAGCGATAATAGTTTTCTCGGCTCAACCCCGTTTGCCATGGTGTACGTGGTGTTACATTTTACATATAGCTGCCACTTGCACGGCGGGCATCTGGCGATTATATGAAGGATTAAACAGAAGCTCTCGTGCTAGATGTGGCAAACAGTTACATGAAAATTCCATCCCACAGACTTTTCACAGCGGACTTGAAGCCAATGGAAGTCTTTTATCCACTCTTTGAAAAGTGTAGATGTGTGATTGACATTCAGCACATGATCACTACTGAGATGTGTCATTATTTGTAACTTTAGATGACAGTTTCTAAAAAAACATCTGTCAGTGTAATCTTAATTCTCATATTCAGCACTTTATAATTTTTCGCAATAGTAGCTCTCCCAGTCATCCCAAGCCAGAAGGCATTGACTGAGTGATTGACAGCTGATATTAACCAATCCATTCACGCTCTGCTCTAGAGCAATGTCCCAATAAGAAGAGCTCAAAGGCGGGGCAAGTATTACAGACTTGGCTTTGTTTACTGCAGCAAGTTGACATGACAGCTGTTGTAAACCATTCCTAAGAACTACGTTTCGCATTTCAAGTGCAGAGATGCATTCTGCGTGAATGTCCTCCAAATCCGCGCATATGGTGAACACTTTGCAGTAAAAACTGGTCGCACACATCAATTTTATGCACTCGCAAAAATGCTTCCAAATATATTTTGAGGTCGCATAGATAAAATTTCGGGCGCATAAGTGACCGAAATGGTCGCAATTTCGAGTCCTGCTGTTGGTTTAACTAAAAATGTTGACAATAATTATTATTTAGTTGCTGTAATATTACTGTTTAAAAATCTGAGGATACAAAACCAAATGTCACTAAGGTTATCACAATTTTGAGTTTATTTCCATATTTGTATGCAGCCGTTCCTCCTGAAATATTACAGTGTGTATGTAGCCTAAATACACTATAAACAGATTAATGGGTTAACACCAGGGCTTGACATTAACACCCACCAAACGCAGGTAGACTTCGGCTGTGGCGGATTAGACAGCCACTCCCACTAGCCACTTTGGCTGGTCGAAAATCATTTTTAAATTGTATTTTTTTTAAAGTAGGGTTCGACAATAAGGATGAATCTCTAGAAATGAGAAGCAGCCCGACTGACAAAAACAACTGTGTTCATGCAAGCAAAAGAAAGCAGATGAATACAGAATGTTATGTGATGCGCGCAAGTTTTACAAAGCGTGCACACTCTCATTTCCTTGCGTGAGCAACCTTGACTGGAAACACAATGCTGCTATCGGTTCTGTTTGAAATAGACTTGACAAAAAGTGATACACATCCACCATTTTCAAGAGCTCGAGATTTTTTAAAAAGAAGGTATTTTATGTATGCAGCAGCAGTTTCAGCTTTAGCTTTAAACAATCTTTGAACAGATTATTAATGGGCCTAATGTTAACTGTGTGCTTGTGATCATCCTTTCATTATTGCACACGGTATGTTTTTCACCTGCTTTCTTTTTGTTAATATGGTTTAATTATCATTCTTTTCAGTAATGTTGATTTAATAGATTAACTTTTATGCAAAGTTAACTGCTGATCTGAGACTTTAAGCTAGGACAGACTACTTTGCATAGTTTTAGACAGGCTACATGACAATAATTGTTATTTAAGTTTTATTTAATAAAAAGTGTGTGCATATTATAACATATATTTTGCTGGTTTTTGAATTTTTCTAATTATAAACTTTTTAGAGAAAAAATTTGTACAACCTTAATGTTGAACCCTAAAATAATAACCAATTACAATGCAACACCATGAAACCACTACCGCTCATGCTCATTGAGCAAAGTCATACACAACACATCTAAATCAAGTAATTTTGCAAATATTTTTTCCCAAAAACAAAAGTGAAAATGGCGAGTGGCTAGTAAAGTTGAAAAACTACTAGCCATAGAGGCTGGTGATCAAAAAAAGTTAATGTAGAGCCATTAAAATATTAAAAATCATATTGACCTCACACTTTTAATGTACTAACCGTGATACATTTTTGAATCTTTAAGCTCAATTCTTAAATGAACAAAGTTCAAAAAGAAATTACTCATTTGATAAAGACATTTTACTAAAAATGTAAATTAATAAAATAAAATGAGTCCTTGTTCTTACCATATAAAACTATGACTCATTAAAAATAGGGATGCACCGATACCATTTTTTATAACCGATTTGATTTCGATCCCAAAATTCTGAGTGTCGACCAATACAGATGCGATCCCGATACTGTGCCGGTTTTTCTTTTAAGCATAATATAGTTTCTATGGTGATAAACTCAAACAATATATCTTGCTTAGTAAAAATAAAAGACCTATAGGCCTACTGTATATGACAGACGACACAATCTAACTGAAAACATGATGCTTGCTGTAAACCAGGCTTAATTATTTGAGCATTCGTAATGACACTGATCTGTTGTGGTCCAGCTTATGTTTCTTTTTAATAGTAAGATTTTTTCTTTGAACTCTGCAACAGCCAACCACTATTGACCCTAATCAAAACACAAACTGGTCTGTTAAATAAACTATTGATATAAATAAAATTACAGTCAAATATTCACAGTTTTCAGAGTAACCTAGATGATTTAGAGGCTAAATTATTTTCTGTTAATGACAATCAATATTGAGCCTGTCAGTTTCACTTTTATTAATTTAACCAACAACTTTAATCACAATGAGCCAGGCTTACAAACTATTCTAAAAGTATTCCCCTAGGAAGAATAAACTCAGTCGGATAATTCTACAGAGCGGCACACGTCACATCAGCCGGTGTGTGAATGAAGTGCTTGATGCATCACTGAGACAGAGCGCAGTCCTCCGCTATCTGCAGACACTTCCAATCCAAAACAGCAGTAAAAAGGGAAGAAATCAGTGCGTTAAGGATCTGTCCAATGTATTATTGAGCCTTTTCTAGTTTTACATTTCAGGTAGGCCTACTTTGTGTGTGAAGAGCAGGTAATAACCCACTCAGTTCCAGTGTTGTGAATGCGATCATCTGATCTAACAGACACAGCGCTACATGATTCAGAAACAGCAATAAACTCCTCGTTTCAGGTCGAAATGAACCAATTTAATGCAAAACTAAATGCATTTCTCCACTGATTATTTATATTAACAGGAACAATTAGTCTAGGAGAAAGTTTTAAAATAGAAGGCTTTAGACAGAAAATAGGAGATGTTAAACTTTCTGCACCGGCTTATATTCCAAATCCTGTAAATATTTCACTGAATCATAATAACCTACAGTGCTTCAAAATCATAGAACAGGAAGAGCTAGATAAAATCATAAATAGTTCTAAAGTAGCTACGTGTATGCTGGACTCAATTCCAACAAAATTACTGAAAGAATTGCTACCTGCTATAGGAGAACCTCTTCTTAACATTAACAACTCTTCTTTATCTATAGGCCATGTTCCAAACTCTTACAAGCTAGCTGTTATTAAGCCTATTATTAAGAAACCGCAACTGGACCCCAACAACTTAGCTAATTATAGGCCTATTTCTAATCTTCCATTTCTGTCTAAAATACTAGAAAAAGTTGTTTCTACTCAATTATGCTCCTTTCGGCAGACGAACAATATTTTTGAAGTGTTTCAGTCAGGTTTCAGGGCTCATCACAGTACAGAAACCGCATTAGTGAAAATAACCAATGATTTACTCTTAGCTGCTGACCAAGGGTGCATCTCGCTATTAGTTCTACTCGATCTTAGTGCGGCATTTGACACCATTGACCACAATATCCTCATAAATCGCTTAAAGTCTACAGGTGTCCAGGGACAAGCTCTACAATGGTTTAAGTCATACTTAACTAACCGTTACCAGTTTGTGAATATTAATGGACAGCCTTCACAAGTCAGCCCATTAAAGTATGAGGTGCCTCAAGGATCAGTTTTAGGCCCTTTGCTGTTTACAATTTACATGCTACCACTGGGAGACATTATTAGAAGACATGGGATAAGATTTCACTGCTATGCAGATGACACTCAATTATATATTTCAACTAAACCTGATGAGATGTCTGAACTGTCTAAGCTAACTGAGTGTATTAGAGATGTTAAAGACTGGATGACCACCAATTTTCTTCTATTAAACTCAGACAAAACAGAATTATTACTTATTGGACCTAAATCCTGTACACAGCAGATCTCGCAACTCAATCTACAATTAGAGGGACACAAAGTTAGCGTTGGCTCTACTATAAAAGATCTGGGTGTTATATTAGACAGCAATTTAACTTTTGAAAATCATATATCCCACGTCACAAAAACTGCCTTCTTTCATCTGAGAAATATCGCTAAATTACGAAGTATGCTATCCATCTTGGATGCAGAAAAGCTAGTCCATGCTTTTATGACTTCTAGGCTGGATTACTGTAATGCTCTATTTGCTGGCTACCCAGCATCCTCTATTAACAAACTTCAAATAGTACAAAATGCACCTGCCAGAGTTCTTACCAGGTCTAGAACATATGATCATTTTACCCCAATTTTATCCTCCTTACACTGGCTGCCTGTTAAGTTTTGTATAGAATTTAAAATATTACTTCTCACCTATAAAGCTCTAAATAATCTAGCTCCTGTTTATCTAACCAACCTTCTGTCTCGCTACAATCCAACTCGCTCTTTAAGATCTCAAAACTCAGGGCTTCTGGTAGTATCTAGAATAGCAATGTCAAGAAAAGGCAGTCGAGCCTTCTCCTTTATGGCTCCTACACTCTGAAATAGCCTTCCTGATAACATCCGAGGCTCAGACACACTCTCAGTTCAAAACTAGATTAAAGACCTATCTGTTTAGTAAAGCATACACTCAATGCATCACTTAGCCGGTTTCCACACAAGTTTCTACATCTTGTTTATTATGAACAGCAGCTACGCTAATTATTCTCTTTTTTTTTCTCCATTTCCACCTAGGGATACTCATTCCGAGGTCTTTAGATTATGCGGAGTCACTGATTGGATCCAAGACCAGCAACGAGATGATCCCAAGGTGTCCATATCCAGGACCAGGCCGTATCCTGAGCTGCTGCTGTGCTGGTGGTCATGGGGGAGTGGAGAGCATGAGACTGATTCCAGTGACCAACCAGGGACAGACTAGTCTTCACTGAGGCCAGCTTCCAGCCTTCACCGCTGAGACTGCAGCTCTACACAAACCTTTGGCCAGCGGAGAAATTAAAATGGTCGTGCCTGAAGGATTCGGATTTCTGCTTTCCAATCCGTCTCATCATGGACCAACGTTTATCCTTTTCTCATCATCTTGTTTCTCATAATTTTTTTTATTAAATATAATTATTTGATCATTTGAATGAGTATTTAACTGTGAATTGCAGAGCCGGCCCAAGCAGAGCCGGCCCAAGGCATAAGCAAACTAAGCGGCTGCTTAGGGCCCCGTGGCCACCAGGGGGCCCCCAAGAGTGCTTGAAATTATTGTGTGACTTTCGTTTTAGTTTGTTAATTTGTGGATTAGTGGTGGAACAAAATATATGCCAATTTATATTGTTATTTCTGACCGCGATACATACTCAGGCGCCAAGATATTTACCTAAATTTACAAAAGATCTGATTTAATTAATCAGTTTTCAACACCGACTGCAGCAGATAACCGCTTTAGCTACAGTACACCCAGCGCCACCAGGTGGCGCTTCCCGTAATGGCGTATCATCACCGTACGTTCACACCGAAAGCGGCGAGAGCGTCCAAGGTCGCTCTGGCCGCCCTGGCGACAACGCTGTCTGCCTTCAGCTCCGGCGGTGAGAGCGTCAAAACTCGCTACATTGATCTCGTACTTAAAGGAGCCGTTGCAGCATATCAGTTACATTCCTGCATAAAACATGTTTCTAGCGTGAAAATGTTGCGCACTTCTTATCAAATTCATACAACAATGGAAGATCAAGTTGCGTGTGACTTTGCTCTATTTATCCAATATGTGTCCATATGTCTGAAATATCCTGAAGCAGCAGTGCTGTTTTGTACTGTCACATCGCGTGAGATTCCCGCTTTTTAAAGATAAATTTATATAACATTAATGAACATCAGTAACTCGCCAGTAACTTATTTGATGCATGTTCCTGTAAGAAAACATTGTAAATAATAGGAAATCTGGCGACCGCAATAATCAAACCCTTGGGAACAACTGTGGTCGGAACCAAAGTTCACTGGTCTGTGTTCCCTGAACTGCTATCAAGTGGTGGACTTCTTCATTCTGATTGCTTGCCGCCGAACCGCGTCAAAGCTCATTACCATAAAATTGACTTCATTTCAACTCTCCTCGAAGCTCACGCCGGCGAAGACGCGCCGCGCTGCTCCTCGCCGCTTATCGACGCCTATCGCCGCCGGCTCTCATTGAAAATGAATGACTTCCGGCTACTTTGACGCTCTCGCCGCTTTCGGTGTGAACGTACGGTTATGCGCTCAAACTTATTAACTCCGCCAAAATATATAAAGATATCAATAGGACATGAACATTTAATTAGAAAGGCCTTGCGTTTATTTCACTCTTACAGACCTTGTCAAAATCTTGTAGATGGTATTTTGGCAAAAAATATTAGGGGAATTAAAAAACTTAAATATGTGAGTAAATAACTAATGTTCTCCACTGTTGAAAACATACGTGCTCAGAGGAGTCTGTGCTCACCTCTCAGAGCATTCTGATCAGTTGAAAAAATAGTGGGAATACATATTTTTTTTATTATAAATAAACCAGGGCTAAGCATAAAATGTTTCCATGTTTACATAAAATTAGTTGGTCAAGTTGTAATAAGTGTATATAAATTGCAATAAATTACTATTTTGGCAGTTTTTTTCTTAAATGCATATTCCACTAAATTGAGATTCTGCTGCTGTGATAGAGATGTGCTCTCTTCAGTCATAAACTGCTCTCTGCACATCAGCATTTTAAGCTTGTTTGACAGATGTGCACTTGTTTTACATTGTTGCAATTCTATAAATGCGTGTTTATAAAATAAATTCATCATAAATTTTTTATGCATTTCCCCCCTTCATTTACCAAAATTGTGATATATTGTGGCTGGTTTTCTTGTGATCTATCAATATATCGCAGAATCTTTGATATCGTGATTGAAGCAGCAGTGTATATCACTGTATCAATATATCAATCACAGATCAATATATCAATATATTGATAGAACAGCAGCAAAATGCTTTTTCATGAACTTGGCGATTAAAAAAAATAAGCTTCTGATTTATACAATTTAGAGTTGGTAATACACTGCAAAATTATTTTCTTTCTTATAGTTTTTGTGTGATTTTGTAGTCCAAATATCTAAAAATTCTTAAACCAATAAACATTTTCTAGAAAGATTTTTAGTCAAAATTATGTGAATTTTTCATTAAAAAAAGCTCAATAATCTGACAATTAGGGTAAATAAAAAAAAGATTGTTTTATGTTTTAAATAAGATTATTTTACTTATCTCATTGGCAGATTAATTTGTTTTACAAAAAAAAAAAATCACTAACTGAAAATTTTTGTACATATTTATTAATTTGATTTATATGCGAGTATGTCTAGAAAATGCTTCCTGATTTAGTTTGATTTTAATTTAAATAGATGTTTTAAGTTATTTGAACTACAAAATACAATATGTTTTTTTTTCAGTATTAACATTTATATCCAATTAAAAAAGAAATTATCTTTATTGTCACTATGTTTGACTGTTTGGCAGCCTGTCTTGTGCCTGAATAATAATAAAAATAAGTATGTTATTGGCTACTTCCAGCTGCTTTTGTTTCTGCCAGCCCATATTAATGTTTTGTGTTATTTAGATTTTTGGCAAATAGTCATATAAAAAGTTGGATCAATAGGAAGTTGTTTCTGCAGAATAATATTTAGAATTGTCTTAAAACATATATTTTATGATGTAAGCAACACAGCTACAGCGAACAAAATCAATAATGTGTGTTTTAAAGTGTGCGAATTATCAAGGATTGATGATAATTTATCATATTGTTTGCACCAAAGGGGCCCCAAATAAAATCCTGCTTAGGGCCCCCTGAAGGCTTGGGCCGGCCCTGGTGAATTGATTTTAATTAATGAATAGGTTAACACATTGCTTAATATAAGAATGTTCAGTGCATTTGCCTGTCTCTTTATAACTTTTCAGAAGCCAAAAAACTAGGTCAAGATATAAATGGGAAAGAAAAATATTGTTTCCATTTCAAAATGTCTTTCGGGAAACATGTTACCCCCAATGTGTAAAGCAATTTGAGTGTGCAGAAAAATTGCTATATAAATGTAAGGAATTATTATTATTAATTATTATTTATTCAATTCTATGTGAAACACTTTCATGAGCCCATTTAGCCAATAAGACAAAAACATAGTTTTACTAAAGTAAACTTACATTTATCCACACAAAATAAACCTGACTGTATTTTTGTAGTAAAGTCGAGGTTAATTGTGTTAAATATGCCATTTCAGCCTGCAGAATGGCATTTCAAACTGTGGCCTAACAAAAATATAGAAAATAAATATCGAGTTTCTGTAATATAAAACTAAATAATTCCTCTCCCTGTATAGTTCCTAAAGTTATCTAGTGTAATATTAAGGTAAACAAATGTAATATTAACAGAATCACTCAATTAGCAATCAATCTGACTGATGTTAACGTTAAAGATTTGATTGAGCCTTTAAGTAAAACAATAATTAGTTTAACGTTACAGTACCGTTAATATAACATTAATTACATTACAGTAACATTAAGTTGCATCAATGTTAGCATTAGCATCAACTGCTAATTAGCGCTAGCTAACTAGCCTGTGTGACATACAGTAATAAACGTAAGATCTAATTACACTGACTTTAATATTCATTGGTTTAATTTGTAATTATTTATTTTATTTATGTTATTTTTTCTTTTTAATTCGCATTTTTCACTAAGTGAAGGCGGGGACTGTTGACTAACGTTAGTAGCTCTAAATTAGTTGACTGGAACGCTGTGATGGTGTTAGCATGTAGCATGTTCACACATAAAATAAGTACAGTTCGCAATTAAAACCATTACCTACCTTTTGTTGTAACTTAATAAAATCTACTGCAATTGATGTCAACAAAGATGTTTAATCCACAAGAATTTGATCATTATTCCTACCTGTTAGCGTTCACATCGGTTCAGTCCTTATATGTTAGGCTAGAGTGGGTTATTTTTTGCGAATGAATGTGTGGATTTAAATAAATTGTGAGAGTCGATTCATCCTTGACCTATTCATAAATACAACAGTTGCTTTGTTGCTGAATAAATGTCTTATTCACTTAAGACGGTGTCCTACCACCACCTACTGGCGGTTTCAGGTAATACATGGATAACTTCATTTTGTTGCATATTTTTCTTTTTAATTTATTATTTGAAGCATTATTAATTTAAAAAAGAATTCATAAGAATAACGAATTTATATAATCATAATATATAAAATATAATATAAACGATAATAATAATACTGTTAAAAATGATAAATAATTGATAATGAAAATATAAAATAACCGAAATGAGCTACTCAAAATAAATGAATCACACACACACACACACACACACACACACACACACACACACACACACACACACACACACGGACGCACGCACGCACACACACACACACACACACACACACACACACGTATAAATATATATAAACATGGCAATAATTGTAATAAAAAGTAAAACGCAGAAAAAGTTGTGCATGACAGAAAAAATACATAGGCCTAAGTGCAAAATTAATTTAATTAATAATTGAAAAAATGTGTATAAGCAGGTGGCTGTGTGAGCACATTAAGGCGAATGAGCCAGTCAGTCTAGCGCGGGCTTTCATTAGAAGTTTGTTGTGTTTTAAAAAGTCTCTACGTAATACCAAATGGAACTGTGGAACTCTGACATCATCGGTGACAGTATAAAGCTTTTGACGTAGCAGAAACTCTCATTAGCTTCTTTGGATGTCTAGTAGTTCAGTACTTTCTGCGATTCAACAGTACAGTGATAAAATGGCATTTTCAAAACTGATTAACCGTCTGAAGAAAGCGTTTGGTGTTAAGTGTGCGAACGAACAACCGTGTGAGCCACTCGAACCCACCGGCAGCACGACAGAGAATCACCGTCATCTGATGACCGATGACCCGGCCGTCGCTGCAGGAAAACAGGCAGGGAGACAGAAAAAGAGGAAACTCAAATTGTCTCCCATCTTCTTCGCCTGTGTTTCCAGAAGAAGAGCTACTGTTGTTGGTAAAATAGATTTATCAGCACTTTTAATTACTAAAGCATATTAAACACACCAAACACATCACATAAGTGTTTAAAGATCAGAAATGAACATTAACTGGAAGACATTTTAGAAAGATAGTTTCTTAAAGCCACAGTTCACATAAACAAGACAATTCTGTCATAATTTACTCCTTAAACCTGTTTGAGGTGCTTTCAGCCATTGACTTCCACAGTATTTTGTGTTCCTACAATGAAGGTTAATGGCTGCTGATTTCAGGAATTTTCTTCAGAATTTGTAGTTTTGTGTAAAAAACAGAAAAAATAAGAATTATTTGTATTAGGATTTTTTTTATTTCAGTGAGCTTTGCCTTTAGATATATAGTTTACTTGTTTGCTAATTCAATGCAGAAAAACCTTGAAGATCATCAATAAAAACACATTGAGTAATGTTTCTGCAAATGAACTGTTCAAATATCTTGTCAAAAAGAGTTGTAGAGTCATATTAATGATGTTCCTTCCTCTCTTTAGATCAGCTATGTGTGCAGGAGATCCACGAACTTCACGCAGAGCCCATCAGTAGCTCTAAATTCTTCTGCACTGCTGTGAGCAACCTGGAGCTGGAAGTTCTCCAACCTCCAGCTCTTGATGATCCAGCAGACGAAGACTTGGACTCTAAACCTGAAGTGAACAGCTTTGACTCTGCAGTGGTCATTGAGAACGACTCTGCAGAGCTTCACTTCCCAGCAGACAATGAATCCTCCCTCAGCGAGGACAGCCTGGAGCAAGAGCTTGATAGTCCTCCAAGTTCACCATCCGATGAGGACAATGAACTTCCAGTGAGCCAGCAGCTCATAACAGATGACATCTGTGACTCTGCCCTGGATGAAAACTCGAACCCTTCACCGGATCAGGTCTCACAAGAGGACTCTGCTGTGAAGTCTACAGCAGATGATGGGACCTGCTTGGACAATAGTAAGTTTATTGCTGGAGTTCAGAACATTTGTTTAGGCTCATCAAACTTTGCAAAATTATACAGTTGAAGTCAAAATTATTCGCTCTTCTGTGATTTTTTATTCATATTTTTTAAATATTTCCCAAATGATGCAGAGCAATAAAGTTTAAGTATTCAGAACTTTAAGCTGAACACTGGTATCTTGAAAATATCCAGTAAATATGATGTACTGTCATCACGACAAAGATAAAAGACATCAGTTATTAGAAATGAGTTATTAAAACTATCATGTTCTGAAATCTGACAATAATTCTGACTTCAACTGTTTGTGTTTTTATTTGGTTTATAATTTAATGACATTTTCTTCATTTTTAACAGATGACATCAGCTGCCGCTACAAACTCGGAAAGCAGCTTGGTGAAGGAGGTTTCGGCTCCGTGTATGAGGGGATTCGCATACAGGATGGTCTGCAGGTATTCATTTTTGTAGACTCAAATCCTCTGATGAAGTTCCCTGTTTAAAGAACATCATCAGAGCTTTCATTGTTTGGACATTTCTGCTGACGAATGAATCCTCTGTTCAGGATTTATGACTGAATGAAATGATCTCCGTGCACATGTTAATTGTTCAATTGTTCCTTTAAACAGGTGGCAGTTAAATTTGTCCAGAAGACCCCAAATATGCAAGATGTCAGCTCTGTGAGTAGACTACACTTTCTGTTCGCTGTGTTCAGTTTATAAAGTCTTATATTTATTATAGACCACAGGCTGTGGTCAGAAACCCTTGTTTGAAAACCAACATTATTATTTTGTTTTCAGTCATGTGACCAGCCACTTCCTCTAGAGATCACCTTGGCAAACATGGCCAGCGGTGGCTCCAGGTGTGCGAACATTATTAAGCTCCTGGACTGGCAGGTCTTTGAAAACCATTATGTCATGGTGATGGAGCGGCCTAGTCCAAGCATGGACCTGGAGGCATTCCTTGAAGTCAGCGGAGGAGTCCTCAGTGAGAAAACAGCACATACCATCATGAGGCAAGCTGTTTATGCGGCCAACGTGTGCTGTTACCGCGGGGTGTTCCACCGGGACATTAAGCTTCAAAACCTGCTGGTGAACCCCGACACACTGGAAGTCAAGCTGATCGACTTCGGGTGTGGAGACTTCATGATGGAATCAGCCTACAGTATCTTCTCTGGTAGGTGTTTTGAATAGTGTGGTCAAAAGTATCGACTTCGGTACCAATCGATTCTGACATTTAACAAGTCAATTTGAGCGCTGTTAAACACCACTGATTGGCCATTGGTGTTCACATGCTCAGCAAATATGACTGTGATGAGTGTCGGTATCGATTGGTAGTTGATACTTTTGACAACACTAGTTATGAATGTGCATAAGCATTATTAATATACGTATTGAAAGCTGGTTAATTAGCACAGCTGAAACCCATCTGGTATATATATTCAACATGATGCTAAACTAAACGTCTCTCCTTCAGGCACAGAAGCGTACATCCCGCCAGAGTTTTATGAAAAAGGATGCTACCGGGCCAAACCAGCGACGGTCTATTCTCTTGGGGTTCTTCTGTTCACAATGCTCCATGGAGAATTCCCATCAGCGTATGACCTGTACTACCTCCAACATGACTGGTCCAAATTTACCCTCTCTCAAGGTGAGATGTTCATCAAAGAACAATTAAGCAAAAACGGTATAATAATAATAATAATAATAACAATAACCTCACCTCTCCATTTCTTCTTCACAGAATGCTGTGATATGATGACGGCTTGTCTGCATGAGAATCCAGAGTGCAGAATTCCTCTAGAAGAGATGCCTTACCACGACTGGTCCATGCTGGAGTTCTGAGTCACATTAGCAGAATGTTTTGTATATTTGATTTTTGTACATGTCTGTAATAAAGATATATTTTATTGAACTCACTTGTGTTGTGGCTTATATTGTGATCTAGCCCCAGTGTTGTCAGATTGTGTGGATTTAAAATGATTTTGTTTGGGGTGACAAAAATTTGGCATGAGGTTTGAACAGCATCCAGTCCTTTCCAACACACTGCAGTTGACACTGGCGTCATTACGGCGCACTTTTAGAAATACACTTTTTCAGAATACTGTACAGCGCTGACCCAAAACCTAAACATATCAGTCACTGCGACATCAGCAAATCATCCATAAATATTCCAATGGTTTATTGTGAAATCAGAGCTGTTCAGAAAAATGTATTAAAATACAAACGTCGTAACATGAGAATGTGAGACTCAATACAAAACATCAGCATTTTCACAATAAGAGCACCCAGTTTTATTAAGGTCGTTGAGTGTTTGTTGCCATCATGACAATCCTAAACAAAATATTCAGTGATATTCCTTCAAATCAATACTGATAGTGTAGTTTGCGCAGACACACTGAGGTTTATCCAGTGTACAGAAGTCTGAATCATCCACATTATTTTATACGCTTCCAGAAACACGTTTACTACACGAATGTCCAGCGTTTGCTACAACTGTTCAACTCTTTAGATGATTCCTTTCTTACAACATCTCCAACTATGACAGCTTCTCATTACTCACCATTTCTTAATCTTACTAAATACTTGACTTGATGTCACTCTGTGGACTCTGGGGTCATGTACAGCATGAGCAGGTCGGCCCCCCGGCGGACCACCACATTTGGTCCTCACAGCATTATATATCTCCTCCGACGTGTTCACCTTTACCCCGTTGATCTCAATAATAACATCTCCTGGCTTCATTCCGGCTCTGCAAAACAGAAAACAGGAAATGACATCATCAATAGGGTGCCTTAATCAACAGCTGATAACATCATGTTCAGAGAGCAGCACACCTGTTGGCTGGAGATCCTACAATCACACGGTGGATGAGAACTCCATGAGAAACATCAGGGAAGGACGGGTCTCGCATCCTTAGCTCTTCAATTATACTGAGGAGGGGAAAAAGAGAATTTAAAGATAATAAAAGACTCACTTCAGTGCAAAGTTTACGGTTTAAGGATTGATTGATAAATAGATAAGATAGATAGATAGATTCATAGATAGATAGACTGATAGTTTGATAGATAGATCAGCATAACAATCAATATTACA